TCATTATGGAGCTCTGTGTCTATCCATCATGGAGCTCTGTGTCTATCCATCATGGAGCATGGAGCTCTGTGTATGTCCATTATGGAGCTCTGTGTATATTTTAATGGAGCTCTGTGCATATATTATGGAGCTCTGTGTGTATATCATTATGGAGCTCTGTGTGTATATCATTATGGAGCTCTGTGTATATGTTATTATGGAGCTCTGTGTATATATATCATTATGGAGCTCTGTGTGTATATCATTATGGAGCTCTGTGTAGATATCATTATGGAGCACTATATATATATATATCATTATGGAGCTCTGTGTCTATCCATCATGGAGCTCTGTGTCTATCCATCATGGAGCATGGAGCTCTGTGTATGTCCATTATGGAGCTCTGTGTATATTTTAATGGAGCTCTGTGCATATATTATGGAGCTCTGTGTGTATATCATTATAGAGCTCTATGTGTATATTATTATGGAGCTCTGTGTGTATATTATTATGGAGCTCTGTGTGTATATATCATTATGGAGCTCTGTGTATATATTATTATGGAGCTCTGTGTATATCAATATGGAGCTCTGTGTATATCATTATGGAGCTCTGTGTGTATATATCATTATGGAGCTCTGTTTATATATATCATTATGGAGCTCTGTGTGTATATATCATTATGGAGCTATGTGTGTATATATCATTATGGAGCTATGTGTATATATCATTATGGAGCTCTGTGTATATAGTATTATGGAGCTCTGTGTGTATATATTATTATGGAGCTCTGTGTATATATTATTATGGAGCTCTGTGTATATCATTATGGAGCTCTGTGTATATCATTATGGAGCTCTGTGTGTATATATCATTATAGAGCTCTGTGTGTATATAATCATTATGGAGCTCTGTGTGTATATAATCATTATGGAGCTCTGTTTATATATATCATTATGGAGCTCTGTGTATATCATTATGGAGCTCTGTGGATATCATTATGGAGCTCTGTGTGTATATATCATTATAGAGCTCTGTGTGTATATATCATTATGGAGCTCTGTGTATATATTATTATTATGGAGCTCTGTGTATATATTATCATTATGGAGCTCTGTGTATATATTATGGAGCTCTGTGTATATCATTATGGAGCTCTGTGTAATTCATTATGGAGCTCTGTGTAATTCATTATGGAGCTATGTGTATATATTATGGAGCTCTGTGTATATCATTATGGAGCTCTGTGTATATATTATGGAGCTCTGTGTATATATCATTATGGAGCTATGTGTATATATCATTATGGAGCTATGTGTATATATCATTATGGAGCTCTGTGTATATAGTATTATGGAGCTCTGTGTATATAGTATTATTATGGAGCTCTGTGTGTATATTATGGAGCTCTGTGTATATATCATTATGAAGCTCTGTGTATATAGTATTATTATGGAGCTCTGTGTATATATTATTATGGAGCTCTGTGTGTATATTATTATTATGGAGCTCTGTATATATTATCATTATGGAGCTCTGTGTATATTATTATTATGGAGCTCTGTGTATATATTATCATTATGGAGCTCTGTATATATTATCATTATGGAGCTCTGTGTATATAGTATTATTATGGAGCTCTGTGTGTATATTATCATTATGGAGCTCTGTGTATATATATTATGGAGCTCTGTGTATATATATATATATTATGGAGCTCTGTGTATATCATTATGGAGCTCTGTTTATATATTATTATGGAGCTCTGTGTATATATATATTATGGAGCTCTGTGTATATATATATATATATATTATGGAGCTCTGTGTATATATATTATGGAGCTCTGTGTATATATTATTATTATGGAGCTCTGTGTATATATTATTATTATGGAGCTCTGTGTATATATATTATGGAGCTCTGTGTATATTATCATTATGGAGCTCTGTGTATATTATCATTATGGAGCTCTGTGTATATATTATTATGGAGCTCTGTGTATATCAATATGGAGCTCTGTGTATATCATTATGGAGCTCTGTGTGTATATATCATTATGGAGCTCTGTTTATATATATCATTATGGAGCTCTGTGTGTATATATCATTATGGAGCTCTGTTTATATATATCATTATGAAGCTCTGTGTGTATATATCATTATGGAGCTCTGTGTGTATATATTATTATGGAGCTCTGTGTATATATTATTATTATGGAGCTCTGTGTATATAGTATTATGGAGCTCTGTGTATATAGTATTATTATGGAGCTCTGTGTGTATATTATGGAGCTCTGTGTATATATCATTATGAAGCTCTGTGTATATAGTATTATTATGGAGCTCTGTGTATATAGTATTATTATGGAGCTCTGTGTATATATTATTATGGAGCTCTGTGTGTATATTATTATTATGGAGCTCTGTATATATTATCATTATGGAGCTCTGTATATATTATCATTATGGAGCTCTGTGTATATTATTATTATGGAGCTCTGTGTATATATTATCATTATGGAGCTCTGTATATATTATCATTATGGAGCTCTGTGTATATAGTATTATTATGGAGCTCTGTGTGTATATTATCATTATGGATCTCTGTGTATATATATTATGGAGCTCTGTGTATATATATATATATATATATATATATATTATGGAGCTCTGTGTATATCATTATGGAGCTCTGTTTATATATTATTATGGAGCTCTGTGTATATATATATATTATGGAGCTCTGTGTATATATATATATATATATATTATGGAGCTCTGTGTATATATATTATGGAGCTTGTATATATTATTATTATTATGGAGCTCTGTGTATATTATCATTATGGAGCTCTGTGTATATATTATTATTATTATGGAGCTCTGTGTATATCATTATGGAGCTCTGTGTATATATTATTATTATTATGGAGCTCTGTGTATATTATCATTATGGAGCTCTGTGTATATATTATTATTATTATTATGGAGCTCTGTGTATATTATTATTATGGAGCTCTGTGTATATTATCATTATGGAGCTCTGTGTATATATTATTATTATTATGGAGCTCTGTGTATATTATCATTATGGAGCTCTGTGTATATATTATTATTATTATGGAGCTCTGTGTATATATTATTATTATTATGGAGCTCTGTGTATATTATCATTATGGAGCTCTGTGTATATATTATTATTATTATGGAGCTCTGTGTATATCATTATGGAGCTCTGTGTATATATTATTATCATTATGGAGCTCTGTGTATATATTATTATTATTATGGAGCTCTGTGTATATTATCATTATGGAGCTCTGTGTATATATTATTATTATTATGGAGCTCTGTGTATATTATCATTATGGAGCTCTGTGTATATATTATTATTATTATGGAGCTCTGTGTATATCATTATGGAGCTCTGTGTATATATTATTATTATTATGGAGCTCTGTGTATATTATCATTATGGAGCTCTGTGTATATATTATTATTATTATTATGGAGCTCTGTGTATATTATTATTATGGAGCTCTGTGTATATTATCATTATGGAGCTCTGTGTATATATTATTATTATTATGGAGCTCTGTGTATATTATCATTATGGAGCTCTGTGTATATATTATTATTATTATGGAGCTCTGTGTATATTATCATTATGGAGCTCTGTGTGTATATTATCATTATGGAGCTCTGACACCCACCTTCCCGCAGGCTCCGTCACCCAGTATCACTATTTTGAGCTGGCGGTCCTGGCTCTCTTCCTCCGAGTCGGACATGTCTCTGTGGGGGGCTGCGGGGGGTTGTGGGGGGCTGTGGGGAGCTCGGCTCGCGGAGGATCACACCGGATTTACAGCAGCAGCGCTAAGCAACCGGACGCCATGTTTGGCCGCACACAGCCTGTCACTGGCTGCAGCCTGGGCACCAACCACTGCGGCTGGCGGGGGGGCGGCACGGCGCATTAATCACAGACACGGGGGAAGCACGTCTTACTGGATATTATTACACTCCGGATTATTATTATATTACAGCTCAGTGATTATCACAACCCGGGTGTGGGCGGTTTGTCACTACTGTCATGAAAAAATAATGTACTGAGTAACATGCCCCCCCTCCCCTCCGTAAACTGTTATATGGTTCGGGCGAATCGTGACGCTGTCTGGTAACTATGGCACTGAGTGAGGCCAAAGGGAGAGAGAGAGAGCGAGCAGGGGGGGCACAGGGGAGCACAGAGACTGGGAGATAGGGGGCACAGGGACTGGGAGATAGGGAGCACATAGACTGGGAGATAGGGGGCACAGAGACTGGGAGATAGGGGGCACAGGGGAGCACATAGACAGGGAGATAGGGGGCACAGGGACTGGGAGATAGGGGGCAC